TTAAACGATATTCCATTGACTAGCAAATTTTTTTCCGTGTGTCAACATCTCATAAACTTGTTACAAGGGCTCAATTTGCTCCTCCTTTTTTCGACTAAAAAGATCATATCGCTTGCTGACCAGCTTTCTTCTGGTTTTTTTCCTAATCTACGTGTACTGTACCATTTAAGTCCACTGAGTTTGTCTCTATATTCTTTAAAAAAAAAATTCATGCCCTTTTGTTTTTTTGTTAACTTTATATAGTTATATAGTCTAATTTACGAGAAAGTAATTTCTTTTTTTTGGATGTAACAACTTTTGTCATACCATGTTTGATGTTTCTTTGAGAGGAACAAAATTCTCTTTGGGGATGACTTTCTGTAACTAAACAATTAGCTTTTTATTTTTTTGATAAAATGTAACAAAACAATTGGTTGAAGTTTAACCAGAGGTTATCTTAATGTTTTATTAGATCCAAGGTTATAGAAGATAACGATCACTTCGCATAAGAATGGCACAATAATTTGCCTCAATTTCTCTTGTTAGAGAAGATAAGAATTAATAGTGGCATAGTAGGGATAAACGCAGATTTCGAATCCCTTGTTACCCAATATTATAATAAAAAATTAAAAACAATGAGGAAAAATTATATTTAGGGTTTTATTTGGCCAAAAGGAGAAAAGAGAAGGAGATAAGATCGCTTCCCCTTTCTTAATAAGACAAAAGTTGTTAAATAAGACAAAATTTTGTACTAAAAGTAAAACCATAAGCCACATAACTAGTAGAATAAAAACAAGGATTAGTTAGTGGCATGATGGGCAAAAACAGTGTATTCCTTTTTTTTTTTTTTTATGGTAAAAGAAGATAGTGATTAGTTAGTAGCATAGTGGACACAATAAAGTTCGTAATTTTGGTGTTTATATTAATATTATCTCTAATTAGATTTAGTTTTCTCCATTTGAATTTTACATAAAGTTTAACTTAATAATTTTATATAATAAATAAATGATAATTTAAAATTTTCTTATCTAAATAAAAATATTCAATTATACCATGTATAAAAAGAAAAAAAAACTTTCAATTGTCATTTATTTACGATACAAATTAAATTATTTAATCAAACTTGATGTAAAAGTCAAATTGAAACAATTAAATCCAACAAGAAAGAGTACTATACTGTATATTTATAATAAATATAGGATAAAGTTGAAATTTTTGTCCTATTTTTATCTTTGGACAATTTCAATTATAGAAGTTATTAATATTTGAGACTTAAATCTAGAATAGAAATTTGTTGAACTCTATCTTCAATTTATTTTTATTAAGAGCTTGCAAATTATCTCGTTTGGTGAATAAACCTTGTAATTGAGTTCAAGCTCAAGACGGGGTTTAAAAGCAAATCATCTATATTACCTTTTCTATTATACTATAAAACTTGATGTTAAAATTAATTGAATTTGAACTCAAATATGAATTTGAATGTTTTGTTTGATGAGTTGAGATCAAATTAAGTACAAATTCTACTATTTTCTTGATGAGTCCAATTTGAGCTTGGAAAGTAAAACTTGAATTGAGCTTAAGCTCAAAATTCTTGAACAAGTCCTGCTTGAGTCTGATTGTTTTTGAGCTGTCCTCGACTACTTTTGACAATGAACATTTATTTGGTTTAAGAACTTCATTTATAAATTTTAGACGTTTTTTGGTGCAACAAATTTATCTTACACTTCAAGGGTTCTTAGACAATTTGTAACCCCATTATTAAATCCTTAAGTTAGTAGATTTCATAATCTGTAATTCTATAAAGAAGCACATAATAATGACTCTCTTTTTTTTAGCAAATAGAAATTTTATTAATTAAAAAAAAAAAAGAGGTACAAGAGATGCTCCAATACACAATACATCTATTCAAATCATGAAAAAAACAATAAGCACAAAAATCAAGAACAAATTCTAATCCATTAATTATAATTTTTTATCACAAAATATAAAATTACTTTACCCTTGCCAAAAATCAGACGGGGTTTTGACTACATTACCAGAGAAAAAAAAGGTTAATTTTTTTCATGAGAAATCATTTTTATCCCACTTTCTTTTGGACGTAAAAAGTTTTTATTTATTTATTTATTTATTGTTGTAACGTTTCCACATCGGTTTTAGTGTAATTAATCCCTCTTCAGTTTATCATAATAGTTTATGTTTATATTGGTGTAGTGTATTTAATTATTTAAATAAATTAAATTTTTAGAATTTTAATATCAAATTTTAAATTCTAAACTTAACTTAGAAAATCACACTTATTTGTTAATAGATTTAACTTTTAGGGTTGAAAATAATAATAAGAAGAAGTTAAATACATTAATTAATAAGTTATATGACATAAAAGTAGATATCATAATTAATTTATTGTATCAAATAAAGTAATTTAAATATATTTATTTAAGATGAAAAAATTCAATAACCTAAGTAGTTCAACATTAATCTCTTGTATGATTAAATCTAAAAAATTATTTAAAATATGTTTCAACTAAATCTCTTCCAAATCCTTTAACTATATAAATGGAAGTTCGACACACTAAATAACTGTTTAATCCTTTTAAACTCAGTTGTTTGAGTATTCAGATATATTTCCTATCTTTGTGTAAAGCTTCGAAAAGGATAATTAACTTAATCAATACCTATGAGCGGATAGATGAGTTGGTTGGGACTTTTCCAGCTTAACAAGAGGTCTTGAGTTCAAGTTCTGAGAATACAGTTCCGTTAAAACTCATGAGGGAGAGTTTTGTCGCCCATTGGATCATACCCGGCTCGAATCCGGATTAGTCAGTGATCCAATGGGTTTTTGGATACCGGATAGTCATACCAAAAAAAAAAAAAATTAACTTAATCAATAAAAATCAAAGGGGTTCTCTTTGGGCGTATGGATTTGTGAGGACTCGAGGAAGATTGCGTGGTTTGGAAAGTTGCATATAAGTAGGTGCAGGAGAGATCTAGTGAGGGATAGAAGTGAAGAATTTGGAATTATTTAATTGCGCATTATTGGGGAAATTAGAGATGGAGAATTTTAAAGGAAGAATTGGGGCTTGGAAAAGAGTTTTGTTAGCAAAATAATGGAAGGGAATGTGAGGAGGGGTGTGGAGAGTGTTGGAGTGCGAGAGGGTCAAATTG